CACCCATTGACTTTAAATCACTGGTGGGGGCAATGCTCCAATCCAATCCAATCCATCATCTTTAAACCCTTCTTTCATTACACAAAAGGAGTCAAAAACCCCATAATCCACCCATATTTCCCTTTCTTCTTCTTCTTTTTTTATAATTTCCTTCTTTGTTGTGATTGGAGCGGTGATTCTGCTAATGATGACAATTCGTCATTGAGTTTAACATTATTGCTTAAGAACAAGGAAAAAAAATTAGGGAAAAAGCTGTCTAAGACTTGCTTCTTGCTTTGCTTAGAAGGCCCTCACATTTGTGATAAGTGATTTCTCTTATTTTATTATATAAAAATTTAATTTAATTTGTTTTGCCGTCTTAAAAAGCATAATGTTGACTTTAAAGTGTGTGAAATCATCTTTGAATATTCTCATAATCTCATCATAGTTGACTTTAAAAATAAAATTACTATCAAAATTGGAATTGAATGAGATTAGGGGTTTACATTTTGAATTGGAAGTTTGAATCTCAGCTTACATCACATGGTCCCTTCAATCTCCTATAATTAATTAAAATTAAACACCAAAAAGAATTCAACCTTTGAAAAAAAAAAGCCCAATTACCAAAGATTGTGGGAAGACAGGAAGCAGGATTGGCACATAAGATCATTTTTCCACAACCCATTGAGGGAACATAAACATTTATATGATCAAAATAATAGTACCATAATTCCGGAGCTCTTCATCCTTGGAGATTAATGGATAGAATGTTCTTTTCCACTCAAGAAACCAAAAAAATGGCTTTTCATCCTTTATTATGAGTTTGTTGTCTGAGACAAGCCGAACAGGCACACTACGTGCATTGATCAACTTGTCACTGGTTCCTCAAAAGAATAACTAAAACTAAAGAAAAAGGAGTGTCTAGCACTAAAAGTAATTGGAGGGTGAACAAGTGAGACGACATTTGGCTGCAATGGTAGTGTTACTGCTAACATTATTCTGCGGTGTTTTAATTATGAGTATCAGTGGTAGCACTGGGGCTCAGTTGTGCAAAAAGATGAGTTCTGCAATCTCTAAGCACTATAAGAAAAAAAAAAATATATATATATATATATATCTTTTAAAACACTTAATTTTTAATGCTGGATATTTTGTCAAGATGTTTTGAGTATAACTTAGGTAATTGCGACATCAAAATCTAAGAATTTCAAGAAATTTCACCACTAATACTACTTTATTAGCGCTTTAATCAACATTAAAATAGTATTTAAGATACCCTTATTATGACCGTTTGTACTGAAAAAGTCAAAAAACTCATTTTTTGAGGTTGCAACTGAGGGGTTTTTTATTTTTTTGGTAGTGAAGTACTGGTGGGGTCAAAACTGATAAGGAAAACAAAGTCTGTTTTGGCAGAGCTGGGACAAGCTGACCTGAAGCAAAAAGGATGGTGGCATCAGGTTTAGAGAGAGTTGGAGGCTTTTAATAATGCTTTGTTGTCTAAGCTGCGTTGGAGAATTCTAGAAAATTCTACTGCCTTTTGGGTTAAAATGTTGAAGGAATCTAGCTACTTTGCAGATTTTACTTTTTTTTTTTTTTATAAGAACAATGGTTAGTAGGTTAGTATTGTTAGAGGTTAATAACTAGAGATTCGATCTCCAGATTTGATGAACAGTTCACCAATCTCATGAGACGCGCGATCATCGAGACGCACGATCATCAAGCCGCTTGGTAGAGTTCGCAGATTCTACTTTCTTAAAAGCCAGAAAAAGCTCTCATTTTTCCTAGGTTTGGACCTTGGAGCAGCATCATTTCTGCCAGAGATATCTTCAAAGAAGAAATTGCCTGGAGATTTGGTAATGGACTAATGGGCAGCAAATCCAGATTTGGGCTGACAGATAGATGGATCCCTAATATGTAAAGAAAGAAGGTGCTGGAGGGGTGGTCTACATGGTCTCCTGCTTTAAACTCAAATTGGGCTAACTTCATAAATTGTTAGCTTTTGGTGGGCTAATTTGAGACTTTGAGTAGTATCTTTTGGGCCAGTCTCTTATTTTGCATTTGTATTGTTTCGGGCCATGCTCCTTACTGTTACCCATTCTTTCAAGTGAGCCTACTGTTATTTTCACACCGACCCAACTAATATATTTACTCAATTATTTTATTCTAGAGGGGTTTTTCACGAGTACCTCAGCAACGGCAACTATACTCAAATTACTCACAAATAGCTTGACTCATTCTATATATTTAGTCTTTCAACCGAACCCCAAATAAAGATAATATATAATTGACAAAGTAAGGGTTCAATTCAAGTTGTTGCATAGTCACTGTAGTGATGTGAGCCGCGACTTTTCCTGTGTTTTGTTATTGTTACAAACTATATGTCAATGTTAATTAAAAATTTATTTAATTTAAAAATTAAAACAGAATGAAACAAAAAAAAAAAAACAATAAAAAAAAAAAAAATCAATAAAAAATACCTTTTAATTAAAAAATAAAAATAAAAAAATTGAGGGAAAAAGAAATAAAATAACAACTTTTCTCAACAAAAAATAAAAAATTAAAATTGTCAATATCAGATTCATCCATTATTTGATCCCTATATAAACCTCAACATAAAAGCCATATGATGGATAATTTTGATCCTACTAAAACTATCAAACAGTCTTAATTTTTTGCAACTCTTCTTTCCAATTAAAAATGAAAGAAAAAAAGAGAGAGATCCATCCCCATCATAAGTCAATTTACACGACTTTTTTCTGGAAACTTTTTAAAATCTGTCAGGAACATTGGTTTTGGAACCAGTGAAAGTGAAACAAAATCTACCATTTGGTTAAGCCGATCCATCCCCAAACCCTACAACAAAGGAAACAGATTCTCCTATCATATGATGAATTAGAAGTAGCAAGATTATTGAAAACCATCTAAACGTGTGAATTGAACTTGTTTTCTAAACAAGTTCACCAACAATCCGGCAACTAACAATCCTTTTTGCTTTGTGAACCAATTAGCTTCAAATCGGTAATAATTACGATCCATTTCAACAACAATTGTTTTCTCAATATTGTAGTTTTAGAACCGAGAAGAAATGGATTTTCATTTTTTCTTTTTTCAAATATGGGAGAATTATGGGGGAATAGAAAATTTTTTTAAGTATTGGTGGTCGTCAAACTCCCAACTAATTAAATCCAAGTATTAAGGTTTATGACAAACCAATAAGATCGAAGGTTTGATTCAGGAAAATATGTAATTTCTTTAAATGTATAAAATTAATTAAAGATGTATTTTTAAATTTATTTTAAAAAAATTAATTACTTTCAAGATGTGTGTAAATTTTTGTTAATTTGGAAACACCATATCAATTCAAATTTTTAAAAAAAATATATTTCTTCATTTTTAGTGGAGATATGAGAATATGTGTAAGGGAGGAGGGAAAACGTACGGTGGGGGTGAGATTTTGGAGATGTTTGATAGTGGTTACTTACCCACCGTCTGTTTGATCTTACCTTTCAAATAAGACATGATTTTCCTAAGTTTGATTGCTATTTGACGCATGACATGAAAGCCATTTCTCAACCATTAATTATCTACATATATATATATATATAGATATATATATATATATATCTTAGGTAGCAAGCATGTATATATAGGTTTGTCCATGCAGATATTAATTAATCTACTTTTTACGTATATATTCATCATCATCATCACCTACTCTCTGTAAAATATATAATAATCGATTCAAAACAGTTTTTGAGTAAAAAAGTATTTTATACTTAATGATATATACAAAATACTTGGTTTGTTATTCAAAAGCACCAGAACAAAATCAAGTTATTAGAGAATACCAAAGTTTGAGTATGAAACTTTAAAATTGGAGTCTGACGCAACAAATTATTTGTATAAAGAAAATTGAAATGTCTTTTATTGTATAATAAAAATGTATTTAAATTCTTGAATGAGGTAAATTCTTTGATATTTATCCTTCTCTTCTTTTATTTATTGATTTTTGTTTTATAATTCGAAATACAAAATAGAAAATCATTATATAAACTTATTCTAAAAAGTATATTTAAAAAAAAAAATTAAAAGTGACAGTGCTTAAGGTTAAAGATCCAATATATAATTCATCGACTTTGAAGCATAATTAAATCTTCTACTCTAATTTGTATGGTATTAGTTTGTTTTATGTAATTCAAATTTCCAACTTTATATGACGATCAGAGTGGGATAAACTATACAAACTAGCAGAGAGAATGTTTTCGAGCTTGATACATTTAAAGGGGAAAGTGCTGGGGAAAGAATTGGAAACTGCATTAACAAGCTTAATAAACTTGAACTTAATTAAGTTCTAAATTTTTGTTATGGGTTCCCACTAGACTAGCTACTTTATGTAACATTAAAGAAATCAAGGATGGAAAACCGTGTTGTTTTCTTTAAAAAATCTTGTTTTTGAAGAATACGTATTCTCCTAATACCTAACCAAGGGAAAACGACATGGCAGCAAGCAAAATTGCCTTTGAAACCCTTTATAAAGGTCCGGTGGCGAGTCATATACCTGACTACAACTGAGCTCGCAGCATCAAGGAACAGAACAAGACAGTCGCAGAGGACAGAAAGAGAAAGATGAACGCCTGGGTTCGTTTTATAGTTCTTGTAGCATGCCTCCTTCCGGCCTTGGTGGAATGCAGTATCGTTCGGCATTACAAGTTTAATGTAAGTAAAAATTTCAGTTTCTTTAATTCCTGAAAACTATATATACTGCATGCACTTGGCGCCGGATGGATGGTGCCGGTAAATGAACTGCGACTTTAAATGCATATATATGCTTGCCTGCCACTAAATTTACATTTGTTCATGCATATATATACTCGTCTGCACAGTAGGCTTAGTATAATACGTATATAATATATATTTTTACATCAATTTAATGTTTTATCGTTTATACTTCATTAAAAAGGCCAATTCTAAAATTCAAGAGATCCACTTCCTTGGATGATTTAGACTGTACAACCCAATAAATTGCACAACCCTCTCTATGTTTTTACATAATATAGTACAAAATTGTCACATGAGACTATATATTCGATGTGCAGCTGGCTATGGAGGAAAGATGTTTAAATTTAGGCTGTGACTCAAGATATTTATTTTATTTGTTTCAAAATAACTATTTTTTTGACTTTTTTAAATTAAAGATTTATGAATAGTTTATATGTTTACTTATATTATTTTTTAAAAATAAATACAAGATAAATAAAATTTTTTTGATATAATGAATAATTAAAGTAAAAAATAACAATAGAATTAAAGAAAAAAATTATTTACTATTTTAAAAAAATAAAAAATAATAATAAATTTAAAATAAATTTAAAATAAAAAATTATTTTAAATTGAAGAAGTAAATAATAAAATAATAATAAAAAAAAAAAGCCACAGTTCCATAATCAGAATTTAATTGGACCCTATTATTCAGAGCCTCTTGGTATAATTCATGCAGGTGGTGAAGGCCCAAGCCACTAAACTATGTTCATCCAAGCCCATTGTGACAGTCAACGGCAAGTTCCCTGGCCCTACTCTATACGCGCGGGAAGGCGATACGGTGCTGGTGAGAGTCGTCAACCACGTCAAATACAACGTTTCCATTCACTGGTCAGAAACCAAAACCCTCCATTTCATCCTACTATTATTATTACTGCATCATGCTATGATACTATAATGTAGGGAAAACTTTCAATTTTGGACAGGCATGGAATCCGGCAGCTCCGAACAGGATGGGCGGACGGACCGGCATACATCACGCAATGTCCAATCCAGCCGGGTCAGAGCTACGTCTACAACTTCACCATTACAGGGCAACGAGGCACTCTGCTCTGGCATGCACATATTCTCTGGCTCAGATCCACCGTCCATGGTGCCCTTGTTATTCTTCCCAAGCACGGTGTTCCGTATCCATTCCCTAAACCCGACAAGGAAGTAGTTGTCGTTTTAGGTGAATGGTGGAAATCAGACACTGAAGCCGTAATCAATGAAGCTCTCAAGTCTGGATTGGCTCCAAATGTGTCGGATGCCCACACTATCAACGGCCACCCTGGACCCGTCTCTAATTGTTCTTCTCAAGGTATTTATAAATTTTTTAATTTGAAAATACTGTTTTGTACTTTAAACTATAATTTATAGCTATAAAAAATTTAAATATTAACTCTGTAATAAATATTTTTTTTATTTGATAGTTATAATTTTACAATACGATATAATTTATATTATAAAGTATTTTATTGAATTTGATATAATTGTTCTTCACAAGTGGGAAAATATTTTGATCCAATTGATTGATAAAATTATTGTCAATTGTTTGCAGACGGCTTCACCTTACCAGTTCAAAACGGCAAGACTTACATGTTACGGGTAATCAACGCTGCGCTCAATGAAGAACTCTTCTTCAAAATCGCAGGTCACAAACTCACCGTCGTCGAAGTTGATGCCACATACGTAAAACCATTCAAAATCGACACAATTCTAGTAGCCCCAGGTCAAACCACCAATGTGCTGGTCACCGCCGATCAAAATGCTGGAAAGTACTTGGTCGCTGCCTCCCCTTTCATGGACTCTCCAATTGCCGTAGATAACTTAACTGCCACCGCAACTTTGCACTACTCCGGTACGCTTGCTGCCGCCCCCACAACTCTCACCAACACTCCTCCTCAAAATGCCACCCCTGTGGCTAACAATTTCACAAACTCCCTCCGTAGCCTCAACTCAAAAAAGTACCCTGCTACCGTCCCACAAACCGTCGATCACAATCTTCTTTTCACCGTCGGTCTAGGGATTAACCCTTGCCCCACCTGCAAAGCCGGGAATGGCAGCCGAGCCGTAGCTGCAGTCAACAATGTCACCTTTGTCATGCCTACCACAGCCCTGCTTCAAGCACATTTCTTCAAAATTGGTGGCGTTTTCACCACTGATTTTCCTGGGCAACCACCGCATGTGTTTAATTACACCGGAACACCACCGTCAAATTTGCAGACTACTAATGGGACTAAGGTTTATAGGCTGGCTTACAACTCTACCGTCCAGTTAGTTTTGCAAGATACTGCAATAATAGCACCGGAAAATCACCCTGTCCATCTCCATGGATTCAATTTCTTTGCTATTGGCAGGGGATTAGGAAATTACAATCCGAAGACAGATCCTAAGAGTTTTAATCTCGTTGATCCTGTAGAGAGGAACACAATTGGGGTGCCATCTGGTGGATGGGTGGCTATCAGATTCCGAGCAGACAACCCTGGTATGCATACTTGTGGACCAAGTAACAATAGACCCAACTCGAATATAAGAGCATTGAGAACTTTTTTTACACAATTAATGTGCCATTATACCACCTAAAACTTTCTAGAAGTGTTTGGTGTAGTGTTATGGTGGTGCAATTTGAAATATTACCCCATGGCACCATACCAAACAACCCTGCCAAGTTAAACTCTATATCTTATTCCATATTGATTTTGTAAATGTGCAGGGGTCTGGTTCATGCATTGTCATCTGGAAGTGCATACGACGTGGGGGCTTAAGATGGCATTCTTGGTGGATAATGGCAAAGGTCCAAATGAGTCACTTCTACCGCCTCCAAGTGATCTTCCAAAATGTTAAACGGCTCCATAGAGAGATTTGCCCATCAAAGAAGGGATGGGAAAGTGTTAACAAATAAACGAGATGATGGAAATGAAATATGGATTTGTTTCTTGTGCAAATTTGCTCAACTATATTTTATGAAGTGTATGTTAACATTTTTGATTTTATACCAACAAAAAAAAAATAATAATCAACTTTTTAAGTTCATTGAGTATAGTTGGGCTTGATCATTCTAGGCCCATTCTTTTGCCACCAAATAAAGGCCCCGTCCAAAAAGAATAACCATATTACTGCTGACCCCGAAAAAGGGGAGAGAGTAAAAACAAAGGGAAAAAGAGGGAAGTGTTTATTGGCAGCTCCACTTCTTTTTTTTTTTTTTTGGTATTAATCTGAGTGTCCAAAAATTATATTAAATTTTGATTAATTTAAAATCAAGTCGTATAAGGTACCATAAGATAAAAGCTTTCCCAACATTTATTTTTCTATTCATAAGATTTGAATACGAAATTTTATTTAAGAGAAACTAAACTCCTTCCACTCAAATCAACAAGTTGTTGGTTTGGTAATTCCACTTCTTGTTTGGAGGGAATGAGGAATGGGAGTTTTGATGCTTACATCCCATCAGCTCATTTGTGCATCTGAGGAGCTTTTGACGCTGTCCATCTTTATGGAGAAAAAAAAGGCAGTCTTCTGTTGTGGGTTTACATCAATGTCTTTCTACTTGATTATGGCCCTTGTTTAATTGTAGATTGGCCCAGGGTAAATGTGCTTCCACACTAAACAACAAATTGCCGGCTTCATTGGAATGTGGAATTGGGGACCAACCCCTATAGAGGGGGACCAATAGGCACCATTCCCTCCCACTAGCACTTTGATTCCCAAATTTAACTCAATTACAAAAATAATTTGTTAAAAAAACTTATCTTGTTAAGAGCAGTTTAGACCATACTAAATTTTATATATAAGTTATCAGATGCATTAAGTTCTTATTTAATAACTTATAAATTGCACAATACTTTTTATTTGTCAAGTTCCCTTTCATTTTACATTTGAGTTTTAGCAATGCAACAAATAATTGTCCTCCTTTCATTAGGGCTATATTTACTTTTCATTTTTCAAAGAAGAAACATGTTTATCAAAATCAAGTTAAACATGTTTAATTGTTACATTATACTATGACTATAACATTAATAGTATATTTAAATTGAGAAAAATAAAAAATAAAAAGATAATAGAATGATGTTTTATCCTTTCATTCTTTTCCCTTCTCCTCTTTTCTTCTTGTTTAAATAAGTAGTACATTTAATTACAAACCAATTTTACTTAATTAGTCAAAATTATTTTGCAAGAAACAAAGAAAAATTAATATGTTCTAACATTTAAAATATTAAAATATTCAATCACAATAGTTAAATATATGAAATTTAATATAAATTTAATTTTATTAAATTAATTATATGACTATTATTAAAT